CCCTTTTAAATATTTTTTTTTTTTGTTTTTTTTTTAAAGCCATATTCAAGCCTTCACTATTCCAACAAACCAACGTTTTTGCCGCCACCATCAAACCCACAACCAACATCAATCCCAATAGCAAAACCTTCTCCACCATTCGAGTTCGTCGAGCCACCTTCGACTTCTCTTTATTGCTATCATATAAAATTATTATATATGTTTATTTGAGTGATATTTTTTAAGCACAATAAAGTTAAGATTATCAAAATATACATAAATAATATAACTAAAATTATCAAAATAAATGAATAATTTAAATAAATTTATTATATATAAGTATTCAAGTAACACTTTCATAGAACGATAAGGTTAAGATTATTAAAATAAATAACTTAAATTTAAATTTTATTTTAAATTAAAATTGATATTATTTTTTTTGTAACACATATCATAATATAAAATATTATTAAATTAATTAAAGTTAACTCTATTGTGATTTTATGTTAGACATCATATTTTTATAAGTGATTTACATACATGTGTAGCGTCTAATTTGATATTAATTGATTAAAATAATGAAACTCAATACTTTTTTAACAAGTTTTTTGAAGATAAATTGACAAATGTCAAATAATAAATAGTGTGAAGTATTATTTTAAAGAATAATGATTTATCAAAAATGATTGTATATATTTAAGGCACCTATTGATGTTTCTTAAATAATTTTTAAATAAAAATTTTGAATTTGTGATATTATTGATAATGCACCTTTATGAGCTTTACCAGAAAAGATATCCAAAAATAATTTGGTTGGAATAAATCAAAACCCTTTGAGAATTGAAATTATTAAAATTATAGAGATTTTGTGCCTGATTCTCTTTGAGGATACTATTTATGATTTGAATTTGTAATTTTTTATGTATCAATGTCAATAACTCTTATGATATTATTGATATAAATATAAATCATACCTTTGAGTCAATGGTTTAAGCACTTTTTCGTATAATAAAATACTTAAATATTGTGATATAAAAATATTATAATAGATCATAATCAAATATTACTTGAAGTATAATTACTTGAAGTATAATTAAAAATCTGATACACCACTTGATACATAACTAAAAATATAAGAAATTAATAAACGCCTTTTCGATTAATAATTAAAATAATATAACATGAGTTGTAACTAAGTCGTAATTTGTATATTGGGAAAATCGGTTTAAGGTCCCTATCCAACTTTTAGTAATGGATTAGGTCCACAATGTGTTCTTTTGTAGCCTAAGGTCCCTCCATGTTATTTTAGAGTGTAAAATACCTGTCTTACCCTTGTTTATAATATATGTTGTTTTGAATTTGGCAGCTAAAGATCCTATTGATATTTTGTGGGAAATTACGTGAGGATGAACTTGACGATTCAGATTTTTGTGGAGATTTTCTAGGGTTTTTATAGGTGTTGAAATCATGTTCGTTGTTTGTAGGTGTTGAAATCCTGTACGAGTTGAAATCATGTTCGTTGTTTGTAGGTGTTGATCGATCGTGTAGGAGTTGAAATCTGGTTCATTGTGTTTGATTTGATTTCATGTGGAGTTGAATTAGATAAGTTTTCAATTTTTGATTTGATTTGATCGTGTAGGTGTTGAATTAGGTTTTTGTTTTAGTTTTGATCAATGTGATAGAGACGAACTCAGTGTTGTTGTTTTTTATTTTTGAAGTTAATTTTTCATTATCTGTTATTGATGAATTTTTGATGGAGTTGATTTTGATTTTTGGAGTTGCTTTTTCATTCTCTGTCAACATGGTTATGAGTTGCTTTTTGGTGCTCTGTTTTTCTGCGTTTTGTGCTCTGTTTTTTGTTCACTTTGCATTTTTTGTGTAGTGCAGAGAAAATTGCAAGTTTGTTACTATAATTGAACTCAAATCACAGAGAAAATTGTAAACTTGTAGTGCAGTGAAAATCACAGAGAAAATTGTAAGTAGGCAGAGAAATTTACAGATGTAGCAATAGAGTAGTAAGTGTTTTGTTTTTTTTAAAAAAAATTTTTGAATTGAATATTTTGTGAACATAATAGATCTTCTCTGTGATTTTTTTATGTGCTTGTGTTTAATATATTTTTGTCTCTTGATGTTAATGTCTTTTTGTTTTTGTTATATTGAAAGTGAATATAAGTTCACAAATTTCTCTGGACTTTTCTTTGTAGTATAGAGAAAATCATAGGTTTGTTATTATAATCCAATGAAAATGACCAAGGGCATTAATTGTGTGGATTTTTGGATTACCATCTTTTATGTAACTGGACTTAAGCCTTGGAACTTGTAGCCTTTAGGGCATTTCGTTTGTATTATTTCTTTTGTTTTCACCATCACACATGCTATGGATTCACCCTCTACGAAGCTTGAATTCTGATATGTTTTCTGATATGTTTTCTTTGCACTTTTCATTTTTTTTTTTTTTTTTGCACTATTTATGTTTCTGGACTTTTCTTTGTAGTATAGAGAAAATCGTAGGTTTGTTATTATAATCCAATGAAAATGACAGAGAAAATGTTAAGCTTGTAGTTGAGTGAAAATCACCCTTGAAGTTGGTGTCTTGATCTTGATGCTTATTGCTTCTTCAACATGGACTTGTTTTTTTTGTGGTGTTCTGGTGCTGCTACTGCGTTTTGATCTAAGATCATAAGACGCAGACACAGAGACTTTTGGTTTCTTTTTCGGGGTTTCTAGGGTTGTGCTGCTTTTGCGCTTTGCCATTTCTATAGAATGAAAACATAAACATTGAATCCCAGAGAAAATTACAAGGTAGCAATGATTACACAACAGAGAAAATTACAAGGTAGCAACATAAACATGACAAAGAAAATTACACAACAGAGAAATTTTGAGGAAATAGAGCATTGAACAAAATAAATATGCCAGAAAAAATTAGACACAAGACATAAACAAAATGTGGCCAGAGAAAATTATAAATGCTGCCAGAGAAAATTAGACACACAAGTAAGAAAAGTAATTTGGCCAGAGAAAATTATAAATGCCAGAGAAAATTAGCCACACCAATAGAGTAGTAAGCCACAGATAATTTGCTTGAGAAAATAATGAAGAAACATAAACATGCCAGATAAAATTACACAATAAAGAAACACAAATGTAGCAAGCCAGAGAAATTTACAAAAACAAGAACACAAGAAGCTTCAATAAGAAGCCCCAAATGCACAAAAAGCAGTTCAATTTTGACAGTTGGAAGGAAAGCAACCCATCATCAGTTCGAAGCAAAGAAATTCGGGACTTCCAAAGAATTTCTCTGGATTCAACCCAGAGAAAATTCAAATTTCTCTAGTCCAGAATTTCTCTGGAACGATAAAACTCTGATTTGATCAATTTGTCATTGGTTTTGCTACTGCTGATTCAATCACAATTTCCTGCACAAACAAATTAATAGTTCTTCTATGAGTTTGTGATAGATTTTCTTTAAACTTAATGGTATGAATTTCTCTGGGTTGAATCCAGAGAAAATTCAAATTTCTCTGGATCACTTTAAGCCTTCCTCTACTGCTGCCTCTTCCTCAAGCTTCTTTTTCCAATATTCTTCAAGTAGGGGTCCAAATATTGCTTTTCCAGAAACAACTCCAATTCTACCAAACCCAAAAAATCAAAAGACGTTATATTCAACACTCAGAGAAATTTTGAACCTAAAGATGTTATATTCAACACTGGATATATATATATGTGCTGACATTGTATATATATATATATGTGTGTGTGTATGTATCATATATATATATATATGTTTGCAACCATAGATAAGACAACTAAGAGTGACTGTTTGATTATGGTTGCAAATGGTCTTAATTGATTAATTATCATATATATACTAGTCAAGACAGTAAGCAATAGATTGTATATATATATATATGTGTGTGTGTGTATGTATCATATATATATATACATCTATCAACTCCACTCCACTCTATTTGTTTACCTAGAAAATCAAACTTGCCAAACTTAGTGCTTTTGTTTTGCTGAATTTGTTTTCATACTCGCTGGAAAATACCTAACACCAGTACCAGCATCACAAAGGAGAATATCCAGTAGACAGGTCAAAAAAATCAACTCATCTGAAGATGAACAGACGTAGGGTATTTTGGTCCAAGAAATTGATAAAATGCGCGGGTATTTTGGTTAGGGACCTGAGGCAGTATTACATTTTTTAATGTCCTTTATGCAGAAAATTGTTATTATTAGGGAGCTTAAAAAAAAAACCACTTGTATATTATAGAATTTTTCGGTGTTTTTAGTTTTTTGCAATAAAAAATATTTTAATACAAATAAAATTTATGATTTTTGATAGATTTAATAAATTTTATTTTTGATAAATTTGTATATCGCACGGTCGCACACTAATTTAATATTATTATAGTATCTATGGTAAATCAAGATTATTTATTAGAGAGCAATATTGTCACCTAGAATCGTACTTACTAATGGCAATGGGGCGGGGCGGGGCCGGGGATCGCACTCCCCGTCCCCGATCCCCGATGGTGGAAATACCCCCGTCCCCAGCCCCGATCCCCGACGGGGAACTTGTCACTGCCCTCACCCCCGCCCCCCAACGGGGATCGGGTTTCCCCGACCTCGAAAAGTCCCCGGCCAAAAAAAAAAAATTCAGCTTCAGATCAAATACTGAATAACAAATTTAACAGATTCAAAAAAAAAATTTAACAGCTTCAGATCAAAAAAAAAAATCAACAGCATCAGATCAAATATTGAATAACAAATTTAACAGCTTCAGATCAAAAAAAAATTCAACTTCAGATCAAATATTCGACAGATTCAACAGTAGAAATGGCGAAACCCTAGCATACACTAGATTCGTCTCTCACTCCTCAACTCGGATCTTGGCCAGAACTTCCAGATCTGAAAAACAAAATCAAAAAACAGATAGAGAGAGAGAGAGAGAGAGAGAAAGAGAGAGAGTAACTAGAGAGGAGATACCCTGAGAGAGAGGAGGAGATACCGTGAGAGAGAGAGAGGACATACCGTGAGAGAGAGAGAGGAGCTACCGCTAGTGAGAGATGAGAGGAGCCGCCACCGCGACGCCTTGAGGGAGGAGTGACGCCGGTGAGAAAGAGAGGAGGAGACGTCGACGCCGTGAGCACCGCAGCATAGAGAGAGAGAGGGAGAGAGTCAGAGAGACGCCGTCCCGTAAGCACTGCAACATATATATAGAGAGAGAGAGAAAGAGTCTGAGAGAAGAGAGGTGAGTGTGAGTGGAGAAGAGAGGTGAGTAGTGTATAGTCTCAAAAAGTAACCTAAATATATTTATATATAAAGAAATTGATAAAATGCGCGGGTATTTTGGTTAGGGACCTGAGGCAGTATTACATTTTTTAATGTCCTTTATGCAGAAAATTGTTATTATTAGGGAGCTTAAAAAAAAAACCACTTGTATATTATAGAATTTTTCGGTGTTTTTAGTTTTTTGCAATAAAAAATATTTTAATACAAATAAAATTTATGATTTTTGATAGATTTAATAAATTTTATTTTTGATATTTTTGTATATCGCACGGTCGCACACTAATTTAATATTATTATAGTATCTATTGTAAATCAAGATTATTTATTAGAGAGCAATATGTCACCTAGAATCGTACTTGCATTAATATTTACCCTATCTACCCATCTCATTAAATAAAAAATATTAAATATATATTATTTTGAATAAATTATAAATACAGTTTTAAGATTTACTTAAAATATCAATTACTCTTTGTATATTAGAAATTATATTTTGTCCTTTTAAATTTATAATGACATAACAAATGACTTATTTTATTAATAAATTATTAAGCCAATTATCATTTTTAATGGTATATCATAAATGTATTTTAATTAAAAAATTTAGTAATTTTGTTATTGTATAGGAGAACAATTAAAAATTTTATTTTTTCTGTCAATTCTATTAAATAAAAAAATTATAAAAAAGAGATATTTATAATTTTTAAAATTACAAGAGATCATGCGCATTTTAGACAAATCTCAATGAATGTATTTATAATTTGAGTAATGTTATATCTCCTAATTTTTTTTTCCTAATGATGTGATAGATAATTTGAAGAGGGTTGATTGGTTTTGCCACAAGATTTGAAAGAGTTTGGAGAGAAAAAAAATTGATGGATGAAATATTCAAAAAAAAAAAAAAAATTAGAGACCCCAAAAATGTTATTAATTTTTTTACTAAATATTTTACATGAGTGTGAGACCCATATAAGAGATACACTTTCCTCTATAGTTCATCTCTCTATACTAATCCATACTCCTCTTATGACCTCAATTCTAATTCACTTTGATGATCAAAACTATATCCTTCATAAGTTTCACAATAAAGGTTATTCATAAAAAAAATTAGATTTATTAGACAATTATAAATACATAAACAAATCACATTTTATTTTATAAAATTAATAATTGATTCACAAGATTAATAGTGAAGTATTAATAATCCTATTAAATTAGTGTGGTATTCACTATCCAATTGGATTAATATCAATTGGATTAATAATCTCACCCCTACCCTATTACTAATAATCCTACAAATTTGTTGGATTAATTATCCATTGGATTAATAATCCTAAACCAAAATGTTAAAACAAACATTAGATAATTGAGTCCACAGATTAATAATTCCAATCCCATATTTTAATCCACCCAATTAAACATGACCTAAGTATACAACCTTATTATTTATTCTTATATTTATAATTGTCTAATAAAATTAACTTTTATTGTTAGATCTTGATTCTAATTGAGGTAGATATTTCGGAAACAGTGGAGGAGGCAACTGTCAAATCCCTTCCCTCCAAAACAACACCCCAATTTTTTTTTTTTAATTCCATAGAGGGAGAGCCTTAGAGAGAGAGAGAGAGAGAGAGAGCGCTGTGTAGGGTCCAGCAATGGCGGGTGTAATTACTCCGATTCCAAGCGACAGTTACAAGCTAGGGTTCATCGGAGCCGGAAAAATGGCGGAGAGCATCGCCAGAGGCGTCGTCAAATCAGGCTTGTTGCCGGCTTCCAGGATCCGAACCGCTCACCTCGGCTCCGCTCGCAGAGCTGCTTTCGAGTCCTTCGGCGTCAAAGTTGTCGATCTCAATAATCAGGTTCATCAATCTCTCATATCCTCTCTCCCCAGTCTAATATTTACATGCATGCTTTTCTCTATCTATATCTATATCTAGATCTATCCATATATATATATATACATACATCGCAATTTGTAATTCTTTAATCTTGTTACAGTGTAAAATAAACCTCTTTCTGTCTCCACTTTTCAGGGTTTCTTAGAATAGATCTTATGTATACATATTTTTTCTAGAATGTGAATGCAGTGGTGGAGCCAGAAAATTAATTTAGAGTTAATTATTACAACTTTTTAGTATTAAGCATAAAAACTTTGATAATTGATCCTGATGAATTTTCAGAAAAATTTTATGGTGGTCTTGGGACAAATCCACATGGTGCCCCTAAATAAATGATCACTCTCATTTTAAACCTTTCCATGATAATATCATTATCAATGAGGTAAAAGGATTGTCTCTTTCTATGTGTACAACCACGTTTTGTTCACCCATTCGGATTCGCAGTCGATTCTTCACAATATTCATAGCTCCACCATTTTCCTAGTAACATTAGTAATTCCATTCAACCTTGTGACTCTCATGTCGACAATATATATATATATATATATATCAAATTGATCATTAAGTGTCATGAGCTTTATTGGAGAGAGCACAATGATAGGACAGTGTCCTAGGAAGCACAGTTGCGGTGCAGGTGTGTATGCTACGAGTACGTGATACAACAAAGCAAAAAAAAAAAAGGGTACAGGTATGGTCTGGTGTACTTTCTTTAAGGTATATATTTTTATAATTTGTACTGGTAAATGACATGTAATAATTAAAAATCAAACGCAAAAAATAATTAAAGTATTTTTGTAATGGTCGAAAAAGAATTTCAATTATTTATTTTTTATATTTTTCATAATTGTAAAAATACCCTATATTGTTAAAGTTTTAAAAATAGGCACAATATAATTGTTCAGTATCCCTTTTTTGTAAAAAAAAATTATAGTTTTGCCTCAAAGTATCCACAAAAGTACCTGTCCCGCACCCAAGCTGTACTTATGCCATACTCGTCCTATACTCATGCCATACCTATCTCATACCCAAGCCATACCCGTCTCGTACCCAAGCCGTACCCAGAGTATCTTGCATACCAGACACTAGAAATGTATCTCACGTACCTAGTACGCGTACCCGTATTGGATAATTACCTGGTATGTGTACGATAATATTTTTGAAGTACTCATGCTTTATAGTTATTTTCTTTGTGCTGTGATAGAAAAGTAAGGGGGGTGGGGGAGGAGACCTTACAGAACGACGGGGGGAGTATGTGAGGGGTAGGGAGTCACTTGGGCACATCTTGTATTCTTAAGTTATGTTATATATATATATTTCAAAAGTGAGGCAGGGCATGTGACTTCCCTGGCCCCTTGTTTGATCTGTCCGTGTGTGTATGAATTGTGTGCAAAACACAGCATTTATATAAATTGTTGGATAATTTTAGAAATAAAAACAGCTTTACACTGCTTCGGTTTCGTGTTCACACTAAACTGATCAGCCAAACGCATTGGTGTGCGCGTAATGTTAGTTACATAAATTGTTGCATAATTCTAGAAATAAAATCAGCTTTACACAACTTCAATTTGGGGTGCACTTTATATAATAGTATAGATAATAATTTGTTTTCTTTTGTTCTTTTTTGCCAATTTTGAAAATTTTATTTTCTGGGTGGTAATCATTTTTAATGATCTGGATATATCTTATATGATCCTATTTTTGTTACAATAAAATATAAGTCTAGGTAATGTTATACGAGCACTTTTGTATTGAAGAATATGATATTTGTTTTTGTGGTGTATCATCTCAAGATTCTAAACCACCAACTGTTTTTTTTTTTTTTTTTTTTTTTTCTTTCCTCTTAATTTTTTTTAAAAGTTATTTTTTAAAGCTGCAACTCAGTTCTTACATTCAAACAGTAATTTTTTCGGTTTATATCTGTTAAAGGTTTCTTTTATATTTTGTTTTTATTATCAAATCATTTATCATATAAGTGGTTAAGTTCAGAGCTAAAATTTATTAATTATTTGATTTGTTTTGTCTCAGTCAAGATCTAGTTGTGGTTTTCCCTTTGCGTCTGTCTTTCTATCATCAAAATATGTCCAGAGTTTTGTGTTTAATGTTAAATCTGTGTTCTGTATATCATCTCCAGGTAGTTGAAGACAGTGATGTAATCATCTTCTCTGTCAAACCTCAGATTGGTATGAAATTTGCCTTGCATTATTTTTCCACTTAACATTTTCTTGTAGCTCTCTAACCTAATTCTGGTATGTATGCTACTAATGCTTGTAGCGTGAAAATATTTTGGCCAATGCGTGGTGACGATGCTATGTTTCTTGCTTTGATACTTTTTCTATTCTTCTCTTTTTCTATTGTGATGTGATGCCTAAATTATTATGGAAAAGGCTACATGATATATTGTATAAATGACTTGTGTGTCTGATGGTGAGGGAAATGTGATATATCCCAAAATTCAGTTCTTTATTGGAATTGTGTAGAAGCATGTGGTTCTAGTTATAGCTTGATTTGACCAATTTTCTTTTTTGAAAGTTTCTTAGTGCATATATCAAAAGAAAGAAAAAACAGATGAGGTTTCTTGGCCAAAACATAAAAAGTAAAATGGGGACTGCTATGGAAGAGGAATAAAAATAAATAACCATTGAAATTAATGAAGACAATATCAAGTTATCTAAATGACTCCATCCGTGTCGTGTTTAGCGCTTTGTCTTTTACATAGCTGGTCCCAACTCCATATTAGGAGAGTTGTATGTTAGGTAGCCTGACACCAACACGTAAAATCCTCGTTAGATTCTTATATATATATAAGTTCTAATATCAAGATATCCAGATGTTTAAGTGGTATTATTGTATGATTAGTTTTAGATTGGTAGACATAAAAATACTCTTTACAGGCCCAAGCAGCTATGCTTGACCTTAAATGGAACCTATAAAAGATTCTCAAGTAGAATTCGTAGGGGAGGAATATTGAGAAAGAAATTGTTGACTTCATCCGATTCTCTCTATTCAATTGCAGTGCTAGGCAAAATCTGTGTGCGCGCGCATGCATGCGCGTGTGTGTGTGTCAGATTGAGACATGACAAAGCCCTTCAAGTCCTTAACCTTGACTAATCGTAGGGAGGGAATTTGTAAACATCCATGTCTTGCCATCAAAAAGCACAAAGTTTAGTTGAAGCTCACTTTTTTACTTGTTTCTACCAAGGTTGTTAAAATTGGGATCCCAAGGAGGATCATTGGGAGGGACTTGTGGATCGGATCGTAAAATCGGATCGAGAATCATAAGATCCTACTTTTAATGCAAAATAAAATAAAAAATTATCGAATAATGATAATCTTTGTTGTATAATTTTAAAAAGATTAAAGAAAATTGATAAATTTGATATAATGTATATTCTATATTAACATAAATTAGAGGAGACGTTTAAAAAATGAGTTTATAGTCAATTTTTTTATATAGATATACACATATATATAAGAAATAAATAATAACAAAAAAAATTGGTAGGATCGGGATTGTAGTAGAATTGGGATCGTATGCGATTTTACATTATTTTATGACTTGGATCGTAGTTACTTTAAGTTTCTACTAAATTTAAGATCCTTGTGTGATCTGGATCGTTTGGCCAACTGAAGTCGTAGAATTGTAAGATCCTACGATTCGAATCGGGATTTTGATAACCATGGTTTCTGCTTGTACATGTTTTTGTATAGTCAGTAAGAGAGTATGATCTGACAAAATCACTATATAGAATTTTTTTTTTTATGACCGGGTATTCGGGCTAGCTTACATGCACCTTGACTAATCCTGGGACCCATGCAAAGCGCCTCCTTCATGTGGATCTAGCAAATCTCGGGTAGAACCTGCGGGCGTGGCCCCAAAGAACAGATTGCTCCTAATGGGAGTTGAACCTAAGACCTAGAGAGAGCACACTCCTAGGCCCCAAGTTATATATATATATCTATTGTCATCAACAAAACAAAAGAAGTATTATTAAGAAAGAAGAAGAATACAAGAAAATTGGAGGACAAGGAGTCGTGCGAAAAATGAAAAAATTCACGGTTCCGGTTACCGCAACCGTTACACTACGGCCTTTACACCCCGCAACCGCAACCGCGTCACCGCCACCGTTACGGCGACCGCAACCGCTTTTCAGAACCTTGCTCTCACTACATATCTATTGCAGACCACCCTCATATCTCTAGAAATAAAAGGAATCCCTCTAAAGGAGGTGATAACAAGGCCCAAAAAGATGATAAATAACAATTTCTATCTCATAGAAAGTCAACATCCTTTATCTTATACTCAAATTTCATTGAAGAAATTTATCTTTGATTTTGTGTAGAGTAGTTTGAAAATGATGTTGCAGATCATGCATATAATTGAAATGAGATTTGGGAAGAGAATAAAAAGGGGAACTGAAATCAAGACCTAATGAAGAACAGCAATATAGTTTTCTAGAAGAAATTACATTTGGCTTTAACCTAAGAAGCTAGAAAACCCAAAAAACTAAGTAGCTCATTCCAATTTTTTTCACCAAATTACGACGATGAAGTAGTTATTATGGATGCTTATGCATATTCATATTCTTGACCTTGGTCTAAAAAACGTTAGATCAACAAAAGGCTGATCTTAATTTTAAAAAAAATATAAATATATGTATTTTTTTTTTTAAAAAAAAAAATTTAAGTCATGCGTAAATTTTTAGTAAGTTTTAATTTTACTTTCCTTAAAAACTAAAGGACCATAACACTTGGGAATATAAATCTTCTTCTTTGACATTCATGGCTTTCAATGCCACCCCAATTGATGTCATGATGGAAGCATAGGATGAAGTATTCCGCCTTTAAAATATTGTTGAGGATTAATACAAAAATTATAATTTAGATAAAAGGATATTGTTATCAGGTGAGCAATGAGGCTGCTTTTAATAAGATTCGGATATGAAAATTTTCCAAAGTTCTCAGTCATGATAATCTTACGATTCACGATCATGATTCGTGATTTATGCATAGATCAATACGAATCTATTTTGACATGGAATCTATGGTAAATCATATGATTCAAGAGATTTTTGAAACTATTGTGTCCAACAGATTTTGACAAATTTTTAAATTTTTTAGTGAAATGGCATAATACAACTTCCAAAAATGATTTATCCACCGAATTTGAGTTTGTCCGAATCGTCCTAATTTGTGCATGCTGGTCGACCGCCTCGGATGACCGATGCAACCCTTGTTTACCGCGGTTGTCACCCTTGTTGCCGGATGATCGGCCAGACAACTAGCATGCACAAATTCGGGCGATTCGGGCAAGCCAAAATTCGGTGGATGTTTAGTATGAATATAACCAATACCTATGTATGATTTTTTGTAATTTTGGCCACTAGAGAATTTGAAATCAATTAGATCCAATCAGGTCTAGTCAAACCTAACATATTCTTAATTTTTCCTTTTTCTTTTTCTTTGAAAAATGTCATAATACATCTTTTGAGGATGTTTAAGGTTAAAGTAACTTTTGCCTATGAATTATCTATTGGTATTTTAGTGAAATAAATATGGTTCAGTATTACATGGGTCAGGTCAGTTAGACCCAATAGTTCTACAACTGTTATTTGTAAAACTTTTTATAAACAATAAGCATACACTCCTTTAAAGTGTTTTAGGTTTTAAAACAAAGGATTTCTTTGAACTCATTCTTCTTATTGTACTCTATATATGGTTCCTAAGTCCATTTTTTTAATGCAAAGTGAGATTATGTTATAATTTTTTAATAATTCTATAGTTGGTGGGATTTGGGCCATGTCTTTTGCAAAGAAGGCAATGTCTTCCCAATTAGACGATTTAATCATGTTCTTATGTAAGAAGTATTTTATAATATATACCAAAAAAAAAAAAAAAATTATTTCATATATACAATTATTTAATATTTAATATATATATTTTTATAGTTTGTACTAAATCTTAATGGCTCTTGATTCGATTTGATTCACAATTTGATTATTGATTTGACAACTTCACTAAGGGTAAATGTGTCCCATGAATCATAACAATCAAGAGTGAAAAATCTTCAAATCCTTAAGTTGACATTTCTATAATAGATACGTAAACTCAAAGTATTATTAGTTCAAAACTAACACTTTGTTTGGATTATGGGGTGAGAAAAGAAAGGAAATGATTGTCGTTTCTCATCTAGGTGAGAGAAGAAAAGAAATGATTGTGGGTTCTCACCTTCTTGTTTGGATGAATATTGATTAAAATAGGATACATGTCTTTTTATCTTATTTGCTTTGTATTTAGAGGGATAATTTAGGATTATAAATTTTTTTTGCAAAGAGTAATTTTGGTTTCTCACCAAATCTCACCACTTTTGGTGAGAAACAGAACTTAAATTATGAGTGATTTGTCGTTCTCGCCATTTCTCTTCCTTTCTCACCATTACTCACCTCATTAATCATCCAAACAAGTGATGAGAAACCTCATTCTCACCATTTCCTTTATTTTCTCACCAAACCTCTCCATCCAAATAGAGTGTAAATGCTCTCTCCTTATGTTTGTGTAATAGGTGAAGGAGGGCTTTATAGGTTAGTCCCTTAGTTTATTGGTATTGGCAGAAATGGTTAAGATGCAGTAAACATACTTTATCCAGTTTAAGTCATTTTAATTTTAATTTGTCAAACTATAAAATGATGAACTTCATGTCCTAGTTGTGCAGATGCTTTAGCTCGTGTCATCATCACTTTGTGGAAAATTATTAGGTATGAATATCTTAGATACCTTTGACTTGATTGGTGATGTAGGAATAAATATATACATATACGCAGCAGAAGAATATGGATTCGGGCATACCTTTTAGGTAAACTAATCACACGACAAATTTGGATTGATTGATGAATTGTGAACTCTTAGAATCTTCTTCTTCACTCCACAAGTGACGGAGTAGAACTACTGGAGCTCTACCCACACAACTCATAGTACAAAGGCTATATTGTATTTCTATGGAGAGAGAACAAGAGTGAGAGTTTCTGTATTTTTTTCCTTGTACATAATACAAAACCCAAGTTTTGTTTATATAGGAAAGCTGAGAGACCCCTATGAGGATACGTATATTATTTCGGATAATGTTTATCCAATATTAATATTTATCTCATATTAATAATTATCCTTTATTCAAATTTCAACTAACAGATAAGATCTGTTATTATCTGAATCTCTCCTAACTAGGTCATGCCAATATGGGCGATCTAGTTGGATCTGGGTTCTAAACCCAACCCATTTTTCAACAGGTACAATAGTACATCTCCCACTTACTCAAATAGCATATTGTGGATGTTTGCAGCATATTGGCCCAACTAGTTCATGAAAACAACCACCTTTATCACATATTGTTTTCCTAAGTTCATCAGAAACTTGGATGAGAACATAATGAGATTCCTTGGGGTGCTTTGTAAGTTCATGTACAAACTTGGATGACATAAGGAGATTTCTCATAATGCTTTGTAACTTCGTAAGTTCGTGTACAATCTTGGATAAGAACAAAATGAAGTTTTGGAAAGTTTTAGATCTTCTCATATGCAATATGGCCAGGGTGGCAGGTGGGGCCATGGTCCCCTGATGGATCTAGAAAATTCTTTGCTCATGTTGATGCCCTTCCCTTTCCCATTAATGTTGATTGATACTATTTATATGCGTGTATAAGAGTAATACAAAGAGAGTGACCCATGGATCTGAAAAAATCTTTGCACTAAAGAAGTTGATTTAGCTTTGCTGCCCACTGATACTGATCTGAGCAACATACATGTATGTACAGGACTAATGATGTTTCCAAATAAAAATGACTCTAGGGAACATTAAATCACTAAGATATTCTTGAAAACCCAATAAAAAGCCGTTTATTTCCTTGCATGGCTTTTCTGTGAAATCATTAGCAGTTAGTGTATATAGTAAGCAAAAAGGAATAAATCGCCAATTAGTGGAATCTATACACATGTTTTTCTCCTGACATTGCTACATTGTTTTGTCTCTCCTATAGATATTATTGTCATCTTCTTCTAATGGTGAACAAAAAAAGTACTAATCTGCATGTGGTGCAATTAACATTAAATTTTTTAAGCATATGCATGTTTATAACATTGTTGATTTGGTGTAGTAGGTAAATGGTGAATTTTTTGAATCATTTGAGGGAGCTTCTTATATGGGACCACTTCTCTTTAGCTTCTCATGCAATAAAATTATTTTTTAAGTGCTCCTCTGGATAGCCTATTCCTATGTATATTAGATTATAATATCTGACTTATGTATAACAATTTTCACATAATTCTCTATTTACCATTGTCATTATGCTGTTTCATGGCGTTGCAGTTAAGGAAGTGGCCTTGCAATTGAGACCACTACTGTCAGAGAAGCAGCTTCTGGTTTCTGTTGCTGCAGGAGTTAATTTAGCAGATCTCCAGGTTTGGCACCACAACTGTCTATGGCTCATTGCACGTAATATTCCTTGATCGATGAATTTACTAAAGCTGAAAGCCTTATTCCATTCTATTTTAATATTATGTAACATAATGCCCCTTGCAAGAGTAGAGTTATCTTAATTTTAATGTCTATGAGTACGTATCTTCAGCTTATTTTTTATTTGGTTATTTGTGTTAAATCTGTGTGCATAGATTATTAAGAATGTTTGTTTGTGCTCTTAATATTGTATAATAGTCTGCTTTGGTGTGTTACATGGACTAGGGTACGAGTACCAAGTGCGAGTGTATCCAAGCATCATATCTTCCTAAACCAAAATATTAGGATATTGAGATATGTATCCAAAAGTTGGGTATAGTATGGAGACATGCCTTAAACATGTATATATATCGTATATTGTATAATATTCTTACATAAAATGTGAATTATTTAGAAATTTACTTCAATTTAAATGAGATTTAGGGAAAATATGAAATTATATCACCCATTCATGTAACAAACTAGAAAGGTTTCTTTACTAGCAAAAGTGAGTGTCTTTTCTTGAAACTATCATATAAAATTAGAGGATCTAAGTGTCTAAATTGTGTACGGATACTCATTCGTTTACCCATGTCATACCCAATGGACACAGGTACGTGGGGTAAGTAGAAGAGTCCATGTAATAGAGTGAAACATTTGAAAATAAATAAATAAATACAGCTTTGCTGTTTTGGACCTGTAGGCAATTGTTGCCATGTGAAAGTGACTGCTTGAGTTTGTGAATCATGATGGCGTGGTCAATTTAAATTTTCCATCTCATAGGCCACGAGGTGGAAAATTTTGTCATGCTTGGAGCATTAGAACTTATATTATATTGTATCCTGTATCTATTAAGTTGATTTTTTGCAGCTTCACAACATTTAAATATAATAATATATACAGAGAATGAATTGATATTATATTGTATCCTGTATCTATTAAGTTGATTTTTTGCAGCTTCACAACATTTAAATATAATAATGTATACAGAGAATGAATTGAAATTAGCTTAATTGTTAATTTTCTTTTCTTTTCTTTTACTTTTTCTTTTGGAAGACCGTTGACCAGGCTCCAAGAGTCTTTCATTTAATAAGATTGTGTGAATTAATAAAGTAATTTAACCTGCAATTATGTTTAAAAGTCCTCTTTCTTTCGTACATATTTTCAATTTTTTTTATAATTCTTCACTATTGGCTGAGAGGGGAAATACACTTATCAACAAAATCATCACACCTTTGGTGGCAAACAAGGAGTAAGGCATTTATTTTTTTATTATTTTTTTTTATCATCTTTGGAAAGAAGTCTTTGATTTGGTGGTTCACAACATTGAAAAGAAGACAGAACTATAATTCTTCTGTGCTTATTTGATATTAATGGATTAGGAAGACCAATGAAACTAATAGTCCATTCCATGCTTCTTCTGTGAAAAATAATACTAATTTGAGTGTGATTTCCTTTCCATTTGCTACAGTTACTTAAGGCTCGTGCCCTCAATTTTGTATAAGTTTGTGAATAGATTTTAAAAGATGTAATCGCAAAATATTAGGTTTGAACTTCTAGGTGGCTTTCAACTTCTAGTGGACAAGGCTGAGAACCAACGTGCATTGAGGGCCAACCTTTCCCTAACTTTTCCTAGAACATGTGAATCTATTTTGATTGTTTTATAAGTCACTATATGCACCTCAACATCATTTGTATGCTTTCACAAATATATACACACACACATTCATATTCTTCAATGGCAACCTGTTATTGTTCTGGCCGTGGAAAGAAAAAGAACATTCATGTGCATTTGAAGCTTGAGTTACTGAGTAGCTGCATCTTATTCAAAACTTTTTGCTCGCTAACGGAGTTGAGCATAAGCCTATGCTATTGACAGCTATCATTATGGCGGTTTGAAATCGAAGTATCTTTGTTTCAAACAAGCATTAGGGATTTTGAATTCACCTCTGCGATCCTAGTTATCTGCTCTACCTTAGACATTTCTACTATGACAATGTGCATATGACCATTCTCCTCAAATTCCTGACGGTGATGATTTAGATGAATTTGGAATAGTGGAGATTGACAAGTTTGTGCATAAATGAGGTGAATAGGTCAAACTCCTAAAGTTGGTTGGCAAATTTTAAGCTAATTGTTATTTAAGTTGCCTTGTCAAGATATGATCAATTAATCAATAAGTATCCACACATCAATTGCATAGAAAATAAATATGAAAAATTTCGTAATGAACTCTTAGCTCGTTAAGGTCTTATGCTTATTGTTATCTAGGACACATGAAATTTTATCGTGGAAAACCTTGAAGATTTCTCCTCGAGGTGAAAAACTATGGGTACACCTAGCCAACTAACAACCCATTATGAATTAAGAGTTATAAGATCTAAGACGAGATTTGTTACAACCAAAACCTGGTTAACCTCACTGAAGAAGTTGTCCACAAAAGTTCCTTGCTTTTCTCTCCACTCCTCATGGCTTTGATTCGGCAGATACTCTTGATTCACCAGTGTACCACGGAACTCCTTACTTCTCATTCTGTTTCTTGCTGCTCCATTATACAATGGCCCTGGGTGGATGTGCAATGCAACTATGTGTGTGGGATTTTAAGCAAAACATTCAGTCTATTTAACTCATTCTAAATTATCTCTCGAAGTTTATGTTTTTAATTTTTTTAATGACTTGAGATGTGTAGAAATTTAATGTATAAAGAGAAATAGAGAGAATTAATTATGTATAGAGAAATAGAGAGAATTGTATTATTGATTGATATATGTTGTGTTGTGTTTATTACAATTACAAGGATTCCTATTATATAGGAGTGTGTTTGGGAGTAGGTGGAGAGTAGGTGAAGTGGGGGTGGTAGTGGTGTAGTGGGTTAGGTTTAGTGGAGTAGGTGAGGTGGTAGTGGTGGTAGGTTTATGGTAAATTCTAACAAGATGCCATTGGTGCAAACTCATTTCAGGTGCGTCCATTCTTGAGAATATCTGCTCTTTCACGTGCTTTATGCTGTTCTGTCCTGTGTCTCTGTTATTCACCCTCTAGCATTTTTTATGAATGCAATTATATTATGGAGACTACACTATTTCGAGTTTGGATATCTGTTATATTTACACATTTTCATGAAAGTCATTATTGTGTTTCATCCAGGAATGGGCCGGTCACAATCGATTTATTAGGGTGATACCGAATACTCCTGCTGCTGTAGGGGAGGCGGCATCAGGTATCAATTCTTGCCCGCTTTCTTATGGTGTCATATGTTTTCTTCAGTATTTCCTTTAAATGGGCAGATGTCGGTCTATTATCAAATTAAAATTTTCGTGATTAATATTTCGTTATTATGCATTTGTAAAGTCATCTTGTTCTTGTTATTGTCAACATTCATCAGTATGAAAGGCATGGGAAAACCTAACAGCTGAAAGTTACACAATTCCTAGTAATCAATCTTTTTTTAAACTAAGATTCCTCTTTTATAAACCATCGTACATCATAAACCATTGAAAATAGTGATGCAAGTTACAAGTGTTCAACATTGTTCTTGTTGAGTATGAGATTACTGAATTCTTTAGTCCTCGTTTTGGTTTTCCCTTTTATTTGTGATGACTGAGTCACTGCAAAATTGCATAGGGATGTTGGTTAATCCCAAATTCTAGATCATGAAGTGTATTTTGGGAAATCTGACTTCTGCTGTAATAGCAGATGAATGGGAATCTAAAATGCAGTATATTCCAGTTTTTAATTTGTTTCACCATTTGGTGTCTTGTATCCATATTAAGTGGATGAGAAATCTATTTAGAGATAGAATTGTTACTTTAATCAAGAGCTGAGTCATGTACTCACTGAAAAAAAAGAAAAAAAAAAAAAGCAGTCATGTTTGTGAAGGTTTCACTGGGATTTGTTATACCAATAACACTTAGAAAGCATTTTCTTGGGACAATGTGGTTAAGGATGCCAGATCCGAAACAGTGGTTCAGAACAATTTTGTCGAACTTGTGATGTGCAAATAAACATGACAGTAAATATTGAGAGAGAAATTGAGATATAGAAGAAGCAATAAAAGAGCAGAACCAGAGCAGAAGGGGTAGACAAGAAGTGGAGATGCAGTAGAAGCAGAGAAGAAAGAATATAGGAAGAAAGAGGACATAGAGAGAAGCTATAGAGGGAAATGAAGAGAGAGTAGGTTCCATCATTTAACCCAAAAATATCTGAAAGAGGGAAAACAAGAAATGTAATTAAGAAAAGGACTCCATAAAAAAACTCTTAACTTCACTAGGAACTTGATGTGAATCTTGCATCAACTAAGCTGCATCACGTCAGCAACAAATATACTATCTTTGAATTATACATTATAGGAAGCAGCAGGAAGGATGTTTCTTATGGGAAGATTGTTGTCTTCCAGAAACATGGTAGTTAAACACGCATTGATGTATCTTTGACAAAAGCTTTAGGATTTGTTTACAACTTCTTGGCCTTGAAAGCTTAAATTGTTTGTCAGATTACATTTATATTTTGGTTCAAAGAAAATTAGCAATCCAACTCCCCCCCTGAGCTCGGATTTCATTTTTTGATTTTCATCAATATTGCAAATATGTTAGTATTAAAGTTTTGTCTGCCTTCACGTAGTTATGAGCTTGGGAGCAGCGGCAACAGAGGAAGATGGAGAGTTAATAGCTAAGTTGTTTGGGGCAATTGGCAAGATATGGAAAGCTGATGAGAAGCTGTTTGATGCAATAACTAGGCTGAGGTATGTGGTTTGTTATGATTTGAGAACCATGCTAATTAAATACCCCACATACAAGTCCTAGCATCTTTCATTTGCCTATTGCCTATAGGCACTGCTATTGTTTGGGCTTTATATATGGGCTTGTGGGTCCATGCTAGAAGTTTTCCTTCTTTTCCATTCAGTGGTGGACATACGAACCCATGTATGGAATTGTAGGAATGTTCCTTTATTTGGATGGATAGAGATGAATGAATTGTTTTTTGTAACGAATAACGATATATTTCTTTCTCCTCAAAATGTTCAGTGGCAGCGGCCCAGCATATATTTACTTAGCAATAGAGGCTTTGGCTGATGGAGGGGTGGCTGCAGGATTACCACGAGAACTCGCACTGGGCCTAGCTTCTCAAACTGTGAGTTCACCTGCTCTTATTTGTAACTTAATTTTTTACAGAGTCATGTAATCCTGGATATAAGCAGTCATGACTTATGATTCTATTAAAATTTACTATTTTGACGATTTGTTTCAAATACCTCATTGTTTTTGCTGTCCTTAACATGATTTGGACTTCCCAAACCAAACCAAACCAAACCAAGCCTTAAGTCCCATCAAATGGGGTGATTTGGACTTCCATTCCAAATATTTCAGAATTTTCGTACTTGCTTCTTCTTTTACACTTTAACAAGCACTTTTGACTATGTGATATTTTTAGTGCATCCAAAATTGAATTTGGATTAGGGTGAAGCAAAGTAACATTCAAGGTCCTATAATTGAATTGTGGACTTTAAATTGAACTTTGCAGAATAATAAACAATTAGAGTATAACGTGGACTTGAAGAATTTCAAAGCCCAAGGAAACCCAATATAAAGTGGTGTCTAGGGAATAGAATGAAAAGAATTGAATTGGCTTACCTTGAATGAGGTAGAAGCCATGTATATATAATATATTCATGATACAATTTTAGGAAACAATATAAACAAGAAGAGATCCCTAGAAACAATATAAACAAGAAGAGATTCCCACAATCAAAATAAAAATATTCTAATTCCTATATTCAACATAATATTCTAGTTTCTATCTTCAACACTCCCTCTCAAACTGGCGTGAAGATGTTCAATAAACATAACTTGTCAATAGAAGACTGGAGCAACATTGGTTCCACAGATTTTGTGAACATGTTTGCTAACTGCTGAGAAGAAGAGACAAAGGGTGGACGCACAATGTCAGTCCGAACCTTTTCTTTGATAAAATGTATGTCTACCTTGATATGCTTGGTATGCTCATGAAGCACAAAATCAAAGGATAATATAATAGCAGATTTGTTGTCACAAAATAAAGAGGAAGGAATAGTCTCTTCAAAACTCAACCTTGCTAGAATAAAGCGAAGCCAAAGAATCTCATGTTCCATGTGCCATAGCTCGATACTGAACCTCTGCAGAAGACCTAGAAACAACTGCCTTCTTCTTACTTTTCCATGAGATAAGATGATCACCATAGAAAGTATAGAAGCCAGAAGTGGAACGCCTATTTGTCCTAGATTCTTCATAGTTAGCATCTGTGAAACATGAGAGCCCAGATTGGAGAGCTATTGTGAAGAACAATCCTAAGCCAGGAAACGTCTTCAAAGGCCTCAAAATGTGATAAACCGTGTCAAGGTGCTCTGTACGAGGTGCATGCATGACCTAACTGACAACACTAACTGCAAATGTCAAATCAGGTTAGTGTTGGTCAAATAAATGAGGCATCCAACAAGGCACTGATACATGCCTAGGTCATTTAGCAACTCACCAGACTTTGATGTGAGCTTGACATTAGGATTCATTGGAGTAGAAGCAAGTTTACACCTTAACATACCAGTATCCTTAAACAAGTCAATGGTGTACTTCCTTTGAGACAAGGAGAACCCCTCCTTTGAGCGAGCCACTTCAATTCCCATAAAATATTTGAGACATCCCAGATCCTTAATATCAAAAGTTTGGCCCAAGTTCTTTACTTGACCAATGCCGACAAAGTCATCACTTGTGGGAATAATATCATCCACATAGACTAACGAGACTATATACTGACCAGCAGAATTATGGCGAATGAAACAAGTGTGATCTGAGTGACACTGAACAAAGCCCATAGATATAATAACAGAATTGAAGCGACCAAACTATACTCGTGGAGACTGTTTCAGACCATACACGGATTTGCATAACTGATACACTTTCCCCAAATACTCCCGAAAATCGGGTGGAGGAGCCATAAATCGTCTCAAGAAGATCTCTATAGAGAAATGCATTCTTGACATCAAGCTGATGAAGAGGCCAAGAATGAGATGCTACAAGGGAAATAAGGAGATGTACAGAAGTAAGCTTGGTGACAGGGGCAAAAGTGGCACCAAAATCCTTGCCAAGAATTTGTGTGAAACTTTTGGCCACTAGGCGGGCTTTGTAACTGTCAACTAAGCCATCAGTGAGGTACTTTATAGTGAACATTCATTTGCAACCAACTGTGCTTTTCCCAAGAAGTAAAGGTATAAGATTCCAAGTGTGATTCTATTCTAAGGCCGCCATCTCAGTCTGCATAGCCGCTACTTATTTGGGATTTTGAAAGGCCTCAGACACAGAATGAGAAATGGACTCCGACTCAAGTTTGCCAAGAAAAGAACAGTAGTCAGCAACAAATATACTATCTTTGAATTATACATTATAGGAAGCAGCAGGAAGAATGTTTCTTATGGGAAGATTGTTGTCTTCCAGAAACATGGTAGTTAAACACGCATTGATGTATCTTTGACAAAAGCTTTAGGATTTGTTTACAACTTCTTGGCCTTGAAAGCTTAAATTGTTTGTCAGATTACATTTATATTTTGGTTCAAAGAAAATTAGCAATCCAACTCCCCCCCTGAGCTCGGATTTCATTTTTTGATTTTCATCAATATTGCAAATATGTTAGTATTAAAGTTTTGTCTGCCTTCACGTAGTTATGAGCTTGGGAGCAGCGGCAACAGAGGAAGATGGAGAGTTAATAGCTAAGTTGTTTGGGGCAATTGGCAAGATATGGAAAGCTGATGAGAAGCTGTTTGATGCAATAACTGGGCTGAGGTATGTGGTTTGTTATGATTTAAGAACCATGCTAATTAAATACCCCACATACAAGTCCTAGCATCTTTCATTTGCCTATTGCCTATAGGCACTGCTATTGTTTGGGCTTTATATATGGGCTTGTGGGTCCATGCTAGAAGTTTTCCTTCTTTTCCATTCAGTGGTGGACATACGAACCCATGTATGGAATTGTACGAATGTTCCTTTATTTGGATGGATAGAGATGAATGAATTGTTTTTTATAACGAATAACGATATATTTCTTTCTCCTCAAAATGTTCAGTGGCAGCGGCCCAGCATATATTTACTTAGCAATAGAGGCTTTGGCTGATGGAGGGGTGGCTGCAGGATTACCACGAGAACTCGCACTGGGCCTAGCTTCTCAAACTGTGAGTTCACCTGCTCTTATTTGTAACTTAATTTTTTACAGAGTCATGTAATCCTGGATATAAGCAGTCATGACTTATGATTCTATTAAAATTTACTATTTTGACGATTTGTTTCAAATACCTCATTGTTTTTGCTGTCCTTAACATGATTTGGACTTCCCAAACCAAACCAAACCAAACCAAGCCTTAAGTCCCATCAAATGGGGTGATTTGGACTTCCATTCCAAATATTTCAGAATTTTCGTACTTGCTTCTTCTTTTACACTTTAACAAGCACTTTTGACTATGTGATATTTTTAGTGCATCCAAAATTGAATTTGGATTAGGGTGAAGCAAAGTAACATTCAAGGTCCTATAATTGAATTGTGGACTTTAAATTGAACTTTGCAGAATAATAAACAATTAGAGTATAACGTGGACTTGAAGAATTTCAAAGCCCAGGGAAACCCAATATAAAGTGGGGTCTAGGGAATAGAATGAAAAGAATTGAATTGGCTTACCTTGAATGAGGTAGAAGCCATGTATATATAATATATTCATGATACAATTTTGGGAAACAATATAAACAAGAAGAGATTCCTAGAAACAATATAAACAAGAAGAGATTCCCACAATCAAAATAAAAATATTCTAATTCCTATATTCAACATAATATTCTAGTTTCTATCTTCAACACTCCCTCTCAAACTGGCGTGAAGATGTTCAATAAACATAACTTGTCAATAGAAGACTGGAGCAACATTGGTTCCACAGATTTTGTGAACATGTTTGCTAACTGCTGAGAAGAAGAGACAAAGGGTGGACGCACAATGTCAGTCCGAACCTTTTCTTTGATAAAATGTATGTCTACCTTGATATGCTTGGTATGCTCATGAAGCACAAAATCAAAGGATAATATAATAGCAGATTTGTTGTCACAAAATAAAGAGGAAGGAATAGTCTCTTCAAAACTCAACCTTGCTAGAATAAAGCGAAGCCAAAGAATCTCATGTTCCATGTGCCATAGCTCGATACTGAACCTCTGCAGAAGACCTAGAAACAACTGCCTTCTTCTTACTTTTCCATGAGATAAGATGATCACCATAGAAAGTATAGAAGCCAGAAGTGGAACGCCTATTTGTCCTAGATTCTTCATAGTTAGCATCTGTGAAACATGAGAGCCCAGATTGGAGAGCTATTGTGAAGAACAATCCTAAGCCAGGAAACGTCTTCAAAGGCCTCAAAATGTGATAAACCGTGTCAAGGTGCTCTGTACGAGGTGCATGCATGACCTAACTGACAACACTAACTGCAAATGTCAAATCAGGTTAGTGTTGGTCAAATAAATGAGGCATCCAACAAGGCACTGATACATGCCTAGGTCATTTAGCAACTCACCAGACTTTGATGTGAGCTTGACATTAGGATTCATTGGAGTAGAAGCAAGTTTACACCTTAACATACCAGTATCCTTAAACAAGTCAATGGTGTACTTCCTTTGAGACAAGGAGAACCCCTCCTTTGAGCGAGCCACTTCAATTCCCATAAAATATTTGAGACATCCCAGATCCTTAATATCAAAAGTTTGGCCCAAGTTCTTTACTTGACCAATGCCGACAAAGTCATCACTTGTGGGAATAATATCATCCACATAGACTAACGAGACTATATACTGACCAGCAGAATTATGGCGAATGAAACAAGTGTGATCTGAGTGACACTGAACAAAGCCCATAGATATAATAACAGAATTGAAGCGACCAAGCCATGTTCATGGAGACTGTTTCAGACTATATAAGGATTTATGTAACTGGCACACTTTTCCCGAATGCTCCCCCTCAGCCCGAAAACCGAGTGTAGGAGCCATGTAAATCGTCTCAAGGAGATCTTCATAAAGAAATGCATTATTGATATCAAGCTGATGAAGAGCCCAAGAATGTGATGCTGCAAAGGAAATAAGGAGACGCACAGAAGTAAACTTGGTGACACGGGCAAAAGTGGAACCAAGTCCTTGCCAAGAATCTGTGTAAAACCTTTGGCCACTAGTCAGGCTTTGTTACAGTCGATTGAGCCATCAGTGAGGTACTTGATAGTGAACACCTATTTGCAACCAACCGTGCTTTCCACAGGAGGTAAAGGTACAAGATCCCAAGTGTGATTCTAAAGCCGCCATCTCAGTCTGCATCGCCGCGGCCCATTTGGGATTCTGAAGAGCTGCAGACACAGAATGAGGAATGGATTCCGACTCAAGCTTGCTAAGGAAAGAATGGTAAGAATTGAAAACCTTGTCATAGGAAAGATACTGGGAAATAAAATGATTAGTACTACTTAAATAACCCAAATGATTTAGAGGATGTCGATCCTGAGGTGGGTTACGGCAAGGAAGTAGAGGAGCTAAAGGAGAAGAGTTACATGACCTACAGATTGGAGAGGCAGCAGGGGGGGCTGAGTGCATAGGCGACGGGAGTATATTTGCAATGGGAGAGGAGGCAAAGGTTGAGAAGGAGAGGGGAACAACCTCATCCTCAACCTCGTTCAAAATGGGCACCGGGCGAATAATGGAAGTAACGGGAGGAGAAGCCTGCAAAGGAGGGTTAGTACAAAAGAAAGGAAGATTCTCACAAAAAGTAACATCCAAAGTGTGATGAAAGTGGCAAGGCACAGGATCATAACACCTATACCCTTTGGACATGGAAGAGTCGACTAAGAAGACAGAACGAATAGATGTGTCATCTAACTTAGTGCAAGTGGGACTCCGATTTTGAACAAAACAGGTACACCCAAAGACACGAGGTAAGAGAGGAAACAACGTGGAAGCGGGCATAAGGATATGAAACGGAGTGAGACCATTTAACACACGACTCGGGGTCCTATTAATAACATAAACAACAGTAAGGACAGCCATATGCTAATAAGACTGGGGAACGCTCGTATCCCGAAGAACACACCAGACAACATACATAATATAATGATTTTTTCGTTCAGTAACACCATTTTGTTCAGAGATTCGAGGGCAAGTAGGTTGTTGAAGAATACTAGTTTGATTAAGATGGGTATGAAATTTATTAGAAATATATTCCTCATCATTATCAAAACGGATATTCCGAACAACTGTATGAAATTGAGTTTTAACCATTTGTAAAGACTGAACAACAATGGAAAACACGTCAGACTTACGACAAAGTAGATAAAAACCTAAGTGCATCTAGTGTGATCATCAATAAAAGTTACATAATACTTGTGACCAGAAAAAGCAGTGACAGGGAAAGGACTTCAGACATCAAAATGTATAAGATCAAAGGAGCATGAATCATATGAGAGATGTAGCTAGTACGAGTATGCTTAGATAACTCACAAACCACGCAATGCAATTTAGAATCTTTGCAAGCTTTATTAAATGACGGAAAAAGTTGACATAAATATTGAAAAGTGACATGACCCATATGCCATAATGCTAAAGTTTGAATATTAAAAACACAAGACATGGAAGTAGGCAAAATAGAGGCCTGAAAACTAGCTAAAGAAGAAAAGGAATGCTTGGCTGGTGGATCTCCAAAGTAGTAAAACCCATCACGCTCATAACCCTTGCCAAAAATCTTCTTCAAACTCATGTCCTGTAAAAGACGAGGAGGATAAGAAGATGATAGCACAATTAAATTGTTTGGCAAGACGACTAACAGATAAGAGATTATAGGCAAAATTTAGAACATGTAAAACAAACGATAAAGTAATGGTAGGGGATAAAGATACGACACCCTTATGACGAACATAAGATGAAGAACCGTCGGCCAGACATGGATTAGGCAATAGTAGTAGGGACTGGAGAAGAAAGAAAGAAAAACTCACCCGTCATATGATCATTAGCCCTAGAATCTATAACCCATAAGGGACTAGCAGACCGAACATGGAAAGCAGTAGAAGTATCTGTAGTGAGTGTGGTAGCAGTGGAAGATGATTGGCCATGAGAACTAGCAGTGAGAGATCCAAGCTGAGCCTGAAGCTGACCAATCTGAGGCTGTAACTCCTATAAATTAGGGATATTAGGAGACCCTAGCGTTGGAGTAGCCTCCACTAACGCAACAGTGTAAGGGGTGCTAGTACCACGAGGACGAGAAGATTGTGGCCGCAACTCAGGATGAAGTTTGAAGCAACGAGCCTTAACATAACTAGAAGCACCACAATAATGACATGTAACCGGACTTGTAGAACCCCGAGAGCCAGACTTTGCAGCAAGAGCCATCTGATCAGAGGAAACCGGAGGCACAGGAGGAGGGCTCGACAGAATCAGACGCCTACGATGCTCATCACTATCAATAGTGGCAAAGGCCTCATAAAGAGACGGTATGGGTGATGTGCTTAAAATCTGAGCTCGAAGAGATTCAAACTCAGAGTCTAAACCCATCAGAAATTAGGGACATGAACATATATCTATGATAAGGCACGCAATAGAATCGAAACAATGTCGCAATAAAGGAACATGCGGTAAATCCGATCCTTCATGGAGCTGAACATCCATCCCAAGGTAGTACAATTATCAATATCCTACTCAGCACGGGTAGGGTTGGTCACAGCTAGCTGGGTAGTAGTAGGTAAAATCCAATGGACCTTTCCCCTTCCCCCTAAATAGAGTTTAAGGGAGCGGCTCCATGCAACAAAATTTTTGTTCCATTCAACACCACAATCGTAATATGATTAACAGGAATGTGATGAGAAAGAGAAAAATCAGAACCAACTGGGATAGGTTTGGTGGGTACATCAGAAGAGACAACAAGAGATGGCTCAGTCATGGTGTAAAAATAGAGGCTGAAAAACATGTAGCAACACAGTCCAAATAAAACTCAAGACGCTGGAAAAAAGAACTCACGGCGTATCCAAATAACTGCTACCAAACAAACCTGGTAGCCCATTGAATAATAAATAAAAAAAAGCAGAGACAGTGCTTAATACATTCAGCACATTACCCTAGGAAGGGAAAAAGATGGCCCGGACCACCCTTGAAGGGTTCACGAAGCACCAAACAC